TTGTGTTTTATATTTTTCATTAATTTACTTGTGTATATTTTTGCAAACATTTAATTTGCAGCTTAAAAACTTATCGAGCTTCCTGGCGTTACTTGCCCCTTCTCTGTAATTGCAACTTTGTTGACATAAAACATACTTTGATCCTATTTTACTCACTCAAATTGAAATTGCAAGAAGTTCACTTAAGACAAGAAGAAGCAGAAGACGAAGAAGTCAAAAGTCTTGACGAAAGTATACAAGGGAATACTGAGTCGTCTTCACTACTGCTCCACAACACTTGTATGTTCATGCTCATTCTTGTTCATTCTTGTTTTTAGTAATTTATTTTTTATAATTTTTGAACACTAAGACTACTTTAGGAGCGTCAAACTGCACTTAAAGTGAAGAACAGATAATCGGTACTCCGACGAAAAATACAGAAAACAACAAGAAACGATAAATTACACAAAATAATTTTAATCGCTTTCAGAGTCAATAAGGATGCAGATTAGTCTAAAATAAGGAAATAACTGAATTAGAGAAAATTGTTGAAAAGAAAATATAATTAATATATAATATTATAATATAACATAAAATAATTTTAATTGTTTTCAGAGTCAATAAGGATGCAGATTAGTCTAAAGTAAGGAAATAAGTGAATTAGAGAAAATTAGTTAAAAGAAAATATAATTAATATATAATATTATAATATAACATAAAATAATTTTAATTGTTTTCAGAGTCAATAAGGATGCAGATTAGTCTAAAGTAAGAAAATAAGTGAATTAGAGAAAATTATTTAAAAAAAAATGTAGATTTGATTTAAACGAGACGAAAAGTAAGCTTTGATTTTGCTAAGGCATAAACACCAATCTGAAATCGGTTTAATATATAAATTAATCTTTCAGACTTATTTAGTACATTTAGTTAGAACAATAACAGTTTTGTAAATTAGTAGTTTGTTATCAATTGACTGGAATTTTTACGAAGAAGCCAATATAGATCTGCAAGTCCTCGAAGCGCTTCCTTTTTCTTCTGTATTATGTACTCCTTCCAAGTCAGGCTTTCTTGCCAAATACGTTTTTAATGTAAGATTTTTATATTTGTGTTTGGTCTACATTGGACTCATTTGCACGAATTGAGAGATGCAGCTTTCAAAATAATATAGATGTAACAGAAGTCCGAATTTTGTACACCTGCCATAGGTTCTTAGATTGAAGCGGCCTGTGTTGGTTATTTTAATGTGTCGCAGTTATTAAACTTAGAATTTTAATGACTGCAACTGATGTGCACTAAGTAGCTTACAATCAAAATAAATTCGTTTAATTTTTGCTTTTTGCTTTTTAGTTTAACTTTTATTGGTGATGAATATTTATTCTGCACACATTTCTCAACGAGCAGCAAAATATTCTAACCAAAATATTCCGAAGACACGCATAAAATTAATGTTGTTTTAAAACTCTTGTTGCAATGAAGTTATCGGCCCCAAAAGCTGCTTGAGGTGTTTAACATTTAAAGACGAAAAATAATGGCAAACATAAAAACTAACGCCAGCAGTGGCCAAAGTTAAGTAAAAAGCCAATTTCAGAGCACAACTCCAGGAGGAAGAGCAAGAGCAAGAGCAAAGGCTTAATGCGCACTCAAATATATTTGTTTGTTTGTGTTAGTGTGTTAGCTTAAACTGCTGCAAAGTTTCTGTTGACAAGATTTGAGGCGGGGAAGTCAGTGTAGTCGGTATAGTCGGTGTAGGAGCAACTGACCGGCAAGCATACACACACACACACACAGATGTCAAAAACTAAAGAAACCACACACACAAACCCACATTAAACTATCAACTAAAGCAGCAAGCTGCTGCTGAGAGTAGTGAGCTAAGCAATTCTAACACACTTCAAGTTGAATTGTTGTTATTGTTATTGTTGTTGTTGTTGTTGTTGTTGTTGACAATGATGAGTACCACTGCGTTGATAATGAAGTTGTCAGCGTTAACGACAACAGCGCAAATAGAATTTCAGAAATTGTCAAAGCATCTTGTGTAAAAGAATTAAAACTTGACAAAAGTATGGTACATACGTATAGCGTTTGCAGAGTATATGAAAGGAATAATTATGAGTGTCAATAAACGGCAACAACAACAACTGCGGCAGTAATAGTAGAAGCAGCGCAGTCGCTTCGCTGTTATTTGTAAGGGCAGTGAATGGGATACGTCATGATCAAGTAATGGTAATGGTAGGGTTTTTTGAGCATTTACATTTGCATACATTTTGTATGCAGCTTGTGTAAGCTTTTCGCTAACGTATGCCACTGTATTGCGTTGCTTGGAAGAAATTTTAACTAAAGAGCTACTCTGCATCAGTTGCTGTTGCTGCAATTGTTGTTGTCGGTGCTGTTGGCGATAAGCTGCATTATACGTAAGCAGCTATCGCCAATTTATTTCATTTACGATTGATTAACATTATTTGTATTAACATTTTCTGTAATTAACATTTTTCCTGTTAAACGTTCATTTAAAAAAGAAGAAAATTATAATAAAGACTTTATCTTATTACTGTATAAAACCCTTTTTGAATAAAAATGGCCACTAATTTATCTATGTACTTCATTTATCAATGTTACTTAGTTCATATCATTATGTTGAAGCTGCTTTGAGCTAGTGTACTTAAGCACTTTTACTCTTTTCTAACTCGAGGTTTTTTCAAAACCCCTCTTTACACCTTGCAGAGACTTTTTAATAAGGCACATACGATTTTAATATTTATTGGTTAGTAAATCCCTAAAAGAAGAAAGCACGTATATCCATTACCTTTTTCTTAATTTCAATTAACATTAATTAACATTAACACGTTTCCAATTAATAATTATGACTAAAAATAAATATTCGCTATAAATTTGCAAACATATTTTTAAATTCACTCTTCTTCACTCCTTTGAAAAACGCTTTGGCTCTTTGGAGGCGTTTCCATCAAGGAAATGACTAGCTCAGATCTATGTGCTCACTTTAGTTAAGGAATATTACTTGCAATATTAAATGAAAAAACCTATTGTTAGTCAATATGACTAGTTGTTGTCAATTTAAACGTTGCTCTTTCTTCAAACATAATACAAACAATAAAAATTTTAGGTGAAAATTGAGACATTTCTTAAAGTTATCAATATTACAATGTATAGAGTAAAGGCTCACTGTCTAATAAAAAATCATATAAGGAAATTTTAACTTTCCCGTAATACTAATCTAACTTTAATTTTAATCTAACTTTAAAGTGTAGTTTCCGCTTTTTTAGATATTTTAGATGGTTTTACTTTCAGTTTTTATATATATTTAACTAACATTATTTATTATCCACTGATTATTAAATGATCTATTTTCACTAGAATAGGACTTTATTGAGACAATTTATTGAGGCCTTAACTAAATGTCAGGGGGGAGAATAAAGTGAAAATACAAGGTAAAGTGTAGTTGGTAAATGCGATCATTGTCGCTGTTCTCTTGAATTTGATATACTCCTGAGAGATATAACCAGTATATTTTTATATTTTCATATCTCTTTTTGATTTTGTGATTTTGTGGTGCTTTTAATTTAGTTTCTTCTTTATTTTGCTTTTGCTTTTGCTTTTGCTTTGTAAAGAAACACCACAAATTTTACTTTATGATTTGCAATTTCTGCTGTTGACAAAATAACCTTTTTCTTGCGTGAATGTGAAGCTAATATCGTAGTATCGTATCGTAGTATTTAATTGTTTCTGGTTTCTTTTACAGACCTCTGGTGGAGGTCTTGATAGGAATTATAAAAGAAGAAAAAAAAAATTATTACTTGCAAGTGGTCTCTGACTATTGTTCCTCCCAACAGCAATAAGTTTCTTACAGAGAAATTACAATGTGAATAAATTATTTTAATTAAAAGCTGCTTTTAATGAAGAATTAATTTTCTTAAAATTTTTATTTGCACTATTTTTTTTGTAGTTTCCTTTTAAGTGTATTGTTCTCTTTTTGGTACTTTGCCAAGTGCTCGACGCTTTTTACCTGCCTTTTTTAACGATGTTTTTTTTTGCCATAAATTTTTTTCGCAGTCTTACTTTGGCTTTTCTTCGTTGCCATTTTTTTCAAAGGGTTTTTTTATATTCTTGTTGTTGTAATATTTTTCTTTTTTTTTTTTTTTATACCTTAAATTTATTTATTATAGTTTGTTGTTATTTTATTAAATTTTTTTCTTAGTTTTGCTTCTTCTTCTGCTTCTTTCATGCAACAAAGTAATTTGCCCAAATGACTTTCTTGGCTCGACTTGCCGCAGCAGCGCCTCAACAGCAGATGCACTACTTTGTGAAATATGCACTCCTCCCCTTTCACTTCGATGCCATATAATGTATTATGTAATCTGTGCATGTGTACGTAACGCATACTTTCTTTTCGATTGACAATTTCAACTTCAATTTCAATGAAATTGTTTTTGTGTCGATCGCAAGCATTTCACATTACAAATGTTGCCGCTGCGGTTGCTGCTGCTGCCAAATGCCTGGCAGAAGTTCTATGCTCTAATGTATCGCTTATATTGTAGGTTAAGTGCTAGAGGCGAGCATATAAATAACGCCTGTGATGCAAAAAAGCACTTGCGATAGATTATTTCTGTGGATTTCGTGCGTTTAGAAGAAGACGTCTTGCTCAATGGAATAAAGTAGAGGACGATTAATGCCAAAAGGACAAGAATTATGTGATCAAGCCTCAGTAGCACTTTTAATGAATTTTCTTTCTTTTTAATTATTCATTAATTTAATTAATTTTAATTAATTATTCCATTATAATTTTATAATTATTCGTTCTATTATTAATTAATATGAAAACATTCGCTTTTATTTATATTATATTATATTTATTTTATATTTCCGGTTTTGTATTTCATTGAAAAAAACTTGTTTTTGGAGTGACAGTCGTGGAGAATGAAGTAATCAAGAATTTCTCCAAATTTCTGTTTTTTAAATAGCCGGAAATGTATATTTTCATTGAATTCATTTCCATATTTCATCTGGTAAAAAATGTTTCTTTAGGCCACTCAAATAGAAAATTTTAAATTCTAAATTTTGCGTGTTGTGATATTTGGAGTGTTAAAAAATTGACATAATTTGCAACCGTACGTCTTTCGGATCAATCCTCATGAGTGTTTAAAGCTAAAAAAGTCAAAAAACAAAAAAAAACATCTGAAGGAGTACGAAGTTATTGCAGCGAACCCATTACGCAAAAACACCGAAATATCGCAAAAACCAATTTAAGAATCGACCAATTTGTAAAAAATAGGGAAGAATAATTTACAATATACCCCAAAGAAACGTCACCATCTCAAACCTATAATGATAAATTAAAATAGTGGTAAGTGTAAGATTAAATTTAAAAAAACAGTTCTCTTAATACTACATTTTTTAATGGAAACATTATAGTAAGTGTTACCATCATCGTCATCACGGTATCAACATACTCGGTGACCCATTGCACTCTGCGCGAAGTGATTTCGCAGATATATCAAGTATTGTCAGTTGAAAAATAAGACTTTGGCAATTCTCTTCCTCATTCAAAATAATAGAATAACTAAAATTTTTATTTATTTTATGCTTCATTTTACAATGACATTTTAAGACAAATATGTTTCAAGGAGTTGTTAAGACTTCCAGTTTCCTCTAGTGCCCCATACATTGAACATAGTTTATTTCGTTTATCATAACATCATAATATCATAATTTATCATAATAATATAATATATTGCATAAATTTGGTTAAGACAATTTAGAGACACTGCTAATTTCGTTTCATCGAGGTTTCTGGTACAGATATTGCATTGCTGTAATACAAACCAGTCGTCCTTTATGTCACGACTGTGCCATTGCATCATCCTTTTCCTAGTACCAACATGAGAAGGTTGCAGAAAATTCTTAGAAAACTGTTTAAAACTGTTTGTGAACACAGCAAATACACTGAGTCAGCAGCGCTGTTTCTACAGTTTTAGTCCTTCAATTGCGACTGCAGGCCCATCTCAAATGTACCCCAGTGAATTCACTTCTAGTGCTGTTGGCAACCATGACGATAGCGTGGGTATTGTTGATAATGTGGCTTTCAGCAATATTTTCCGTCAGTGTTGCTGCAACTGTAGCTAGTGTTGTCATTGCTTTGATACTATTGCAGATAATATTAATTCGAATTATATTATTGGTGGTGTATATCGATTAGTTGCTTCCAATGCGTTTGTGAGCGATTTGTTCATAGTGCAGCAGCTGACTGAAACAGTTCCTTAACGGAACATCTTATAGCCATCAAAGGAAGCTGAATTTGCACTCGTTCAGGATATGAAACAACGGTCGAAACCCTTAAAGTACATGTCTTTGTATGTATGTAGTTGATTATTTGTCGAAAGATTATTGGTCCATTGTGGTGTGTCGTGCTAGTTTGACTTGGTACATCCTGTCTCATTTTGTCTCTGCTTGTCTTATGCTGTCTTTAATTGTCAATTGTTGTCTGTCTAACCGTTTGTCGTTTGCCTTAGATGTATGTGCTGCCGTTGAACTGTCAAAGAGCATGAGCTCAGCTATTGATGCAATTGAAATCTGCTTGATGTCATTTAATTGCAATTCTAAGGAAATTTTCCTTTTGATACCTATTTTTTAGTTCCAGCAATTTTTGTTTTACTTGTGCTTTAGTATAATTCAGATATACCGACCGCAATCAATGGCTGCTAGGTGATGTATCAGGAACTCAGAATATGAGCCCTGCGGTGTATTTATTCTTGTACATCCGGGAGTGTTATATAAGAAGATGTAAGATATAAGATGTAAATCATCTCTAATTTTTCTAACACTTGTTATATTTATTTCTTTTTGAATAAAGAAAATTCTTTCTTTCCCTTTGTCGAATTGTAAACTATTTGTTGTTACTTGCTTTGTATTCTATGCATCTTTTACTTGGTTACCTAACCAAAAATAGTTGCAAGTGCAATATTCCGTCTCAATGACCTAGCTGGGCTTATAAACCTAGCTAAAAAATAAATAAATAAAGAATAATAGGACAGACGACCGTACCAAGGCAGGCGCTCTTCTCCCTAACATTCACTTCTCACATATAGGCGTTCCACTTGCTACTGTTAAACTGGTAATTTAACAAAATTACCTGAACATAGTTTGATGAACCTAATTGTCAGATATCTAAGTAGAAGACGGTGTCTGGCATGCTAGGATGGCATGCTATGAGACTCGGTCTACTCTCTAATGACTTTTGTCAAGGTTGTGACTCTAAGGATGAGGAGGAGACTGTGCTCCATCTTATGTGTTAGTGCCCTTCTTTACCTAGATGAAGAACAAAAATCTTCGGATCCCCTTTTCTTACCAAACTGACCGAGATGCTAGCTCTCAAAGTTTATAGAACTGGCAGTTTGGTTTTCCTTTACCTGATGGGGGACACGTCACCTTTTTCGGCGTTGGCTGTATACTGATTTAAATCTATATAAGTACCAATGCTATTCCTGTGGTATCATAATGAACTATAGAGCTCAAGTCTGCTTTTTGGAAACAAGGCCAGTCTGCTTTTGTTATACCAGGCGATACTTGTTTACCAATTTCTTTCAATTGGTTTGACCAAAATGTTTGGTTATATTTTTGATTTTTGAAATTCATATCACAAAATTGTCTGTTAGAGCATTTTATTTATCCGCTTCTCGGTTTTAATTTATTTGCTTACTTATATCAAAACGATAATAGTTCTGATATTGCATTATTATTGTTATTATTATTTGTATGTGAATCAGCGTATAATGTACAAGTGACCTACGCGTCCAATGACACTAACACAATACCATATCAGCCAACAAGTCGGCATGTTTCACTAGGGGTTAGCTCACACTATTCACCTTCTCATTTTAGTCCATTTCATCGCTTCGTTCAATTTCTGGCTAATGTTTGTCTTGAGATTCGGAAGCAATGCTCATCTAAATATTTATTGTGCATTAGTATTTTAGGTTATTTTTATTACCAGCCGACCTGCGGTGTTGTCTGCACATGTATCCCTTTCAGTATGATGAACTCCTTGTCTTCGCTTTGCTGCTTCTTGCTGCACTTCTGTTTAACTCCGACCAAATCTTCATTTGTTCCTCTATGTGCCTCCAGTGCACATTTCGCTTTAATGTTGCACTTTGTTCTCTGATTTCTCAGTAGGCCGCTGAAAAATCCATTTCCTTATTTTTTTCCAGTTTTTGCATTTCGAGCGGTCTATGTGATGCGGATTTAGAGAATAAAATTAATATCAAATAAAATCGGATACACAGAATGTTGAATAAAAATGTTTTTCAAACGAAGTCGCCTTTTTGTTAAACTTTTTATTAAATACAGAATTATTTAGTTGATGGCCAGAAAAAGCAGACTGGACCTTAATGCTATACGCATATGTAATTATCGAAAGCAATTGGAAACGCCCTGAAGAGATTATGTATTGTTCGGAAGAGTAAGAAAGTAGTGTATACAAAAATAATAGCTATAATAATAATAATAATAAGTAATGGCAACATCACAACGAAATTATAAGAATTTAATAAAACCAATAAAGGAGAAGTGAGATTATATTTATACGAGGGCACTAACAAAAGTTTTGTTATTTCGTTATAAAAATTTTAATCTTTATAATTTTTTATGTTTACAAAATAAATTTTCCTCAAAATTTCATTTGGTTTGACGTTTTAATAGGAGAGCCGACACTCTTCTGGAGTAATACACTTCAATTAATGAATAACCCAATTATTAAGCATCGGTTTGAATTGACTGTTTTAGTATCTATCGACTCAAAACGGGTGCATCGAAGTAGAAATTTAAGCATTGGAAAACAAAAATTAGAAGACGTGAGTTGGGTCATATCTGGGCAATACGGTGGCTGTTCGATAAAATTTGTTGTCACTTGCCAATTGACAATTCGACTTAAGAATGTGTGTTCGAAATTGATTTGATCTTTTCTGTTCTTAGCGACTAACATGCAGGTGTTTCTTCTTTGTTCCTTTTGTTAAAGACATCACTAAATGGTTATTAACATGTTTGATGGAGAGGTGGCTGTCAATTTGATAATTAAGTAGGTATTACGTGCCTAATAAGCAAGTTCGCCAACTATACTGTTTCCTTGTACACCTCTTATGACCGGGTACCTAGTATATCCGACGCTTCTTTCAGAGTCATTGATGAGTCATCGATTGGCTTGCGTTGGTGTACATTTCTCTGATAAGTGCCGTGGGTCGCTATTGCGTTTATGCATGTATAACATAGTTTATTTTTTCGTTTACTCCAGTGTGTTCAGAAAGGGTCCCAATGGCACTAAGATTATAAGCCAGTTCAGTAATAAGTTGATAAAGGTTTTTAAAACTAGTGGGTTATTCACATTATATTGTATATATGGAAATGTATTTTTCTATTAAAAAGTAATATGCAAAAATTTTGACTACGATATGAGTGTCATAATTTATTATTTGAGTGTTTGAATTCTTGGGATGACGATATAGCTATTTGTGAAACCAAGTATATTCAATTATACTATTATCAGTTATTTAACAAGTTAATTCTAAAAGGAGTTTTGTGCATACTTATCAACAACTACAAACAGATATTGTATTTAAGTTCGTCGATTCACTTACAGATGCCCAATATCTTGCGTACATACAAATCTCCAATGGAATTAAATGGGTGTCCTTAAATGATATTCTCTAAGCTTTAAGCGCAATGCAATTCAAGCAACGTAGAATGTAATTATTACCAGAAACGATACAAAGGATTATAATATATCAATTAATTCTTAAAATCTGACTATCTGAAAAGAGTACTAACATAATTAATTGCGTTCTCAACTTGGCCAGTGATGCGCTCACCAATAAATTGAATTCTGCACGTTAAGTAAGCAAAATGTGTAATTTTTCACGTTTGAATAATTGTTTCGATTCGATAATTTGTGCAGGATGAGATGACGTTCACACGCACACGCATACATATATACATACATACATACATACATACATATATACATGCATAGATATCAGTGTTGCAATGCATGTGCATTATCCTTTGTTCTTTAAATTCATTATTGTTATTGCTGTTGTTGTTGTTGTTGTTGCTGTTGTTTTTGTTGTTGCTGTTGTTACAATTATTATTATTTGTTGTTAGCTGACAACCTCTTTAATTACACTTAGGCTTTGTGCAAATCCGTCACTAATTGAGGAAGTGCATTTGCCCGTATAAATTACACAAACGCAACAGCAACAGTAACGGCAAAAGCACAGTCACAGTCAGAGGCACAGGAACGGTTGCCGCCGCCGCCGCTACCGCCACTACCGCCGCCATAACAAATAATTAATAATA